TTTGCAAGCCTTGCTTGAACAAAAGCTTTATGCAAATCTCAAGAAGTACACCTTCCTTACCAGCGAAGTTGTGTTTTTAGGTTACATCATTACTGCAGAGGGTGTTCGCGTTGATCCAAGCAAAGTTGCAGCCATTGACAGCTGGCCAATTCTAAAATCTATCCAAAAGGTTCGAAGCTTCCACGAATTAGCTTCTTTCTACAGGAGGTTCATCCATAATTTTAGCTCAATTGCTGCACCACTTACAAGTTGCACTAAAGGAGAGAAGTTTTATTGGATAGAGCCAGCTCAAAAAAGCTTTGAGGAGCTTAAGAAGAAGTTGACTGAAGCTCCAATCCTAGCTCTTCCTAACTTTGACCAAGTATTTGAAGTTAGTTGTGATGCTTTTAACACCGGCATTGGTGCTGTCTTAAGCCAGGAGGGCCATCCATTGCCTTTTTTAGTGAGAAGCTTAATGATGCTAAGTTTAGATATTCTACCTATGATAAGGAATTCTATGTCATTGTTTGAGCTCTCCAACATTAGAGTCATTATCTCTTGAATAAAGAGTTCATACTTTTTTCGAATCATGAGGCTCTCAAGTATTTGAGTTCCCAGCAAAAGATCAGTTACAGACATGCTCGTTGGAGTGAACTTTTACAGTCTTATCCATTCCTTATCAAACATAAGGCTGGAACTCTAAATTCCGTAGCTGATGCCCTTAGTCATCGCCATGTGCTACTTATAACACTGCAAACTAAGGTTGTTGGATTTGACCTTGTCAAAGAGTTATATCAGGATGATCTTGATTTTTGAGGAGTGTGGGAAGTAACTGTAAATCAACCTTTCCACTAGTTCTATAGACATGATGGTTTTTTATTTTGAGGTAAAACCCTCTATATTCTACAGGGTTCCTTGAGAGAAGCCATAATTTGAGAAGCACATGATGGTGGATTAGCTAGGCATTTTAGACGGGATAAAACAGTTGACTTGGTGAAGGAGAACTTTTACTGGCCTCGACTTGAACGGGATGTCAACAGGCATATACAGAGATGTAAAATGTGTCACTTGGCCAAATCCAAGGGTCAGAATACGGGATTATACATGCTTTTGCCAATTCTAGAAGCACCTTGGGAAGATATAACTATGGATTTTGTTCTGGGTTTACCACAAACTCAGAGGTAAAAAGATTCTGTCATGGTGGTTATGGATCGTTTCTCAAAATTGGCCTATTTCGTTCCATGCCAGAAGACTAATGATGCTGTTCAAGTAGCAGACTTATACTTTAAGGAGATTGTGCATCTTCATGGCATTCCCAAGACTATCACTTCTAACCGTGATGTGAAGTTTCTCAGCCACTTTTGGTGGACACTATGAAAAAAGATGGGAACTAAGCTCCAGTTTAGCAGCGCTAGTCATCCCCAGACAGACGGCCAAACTAAAGCTATAAACAGGATTCTTGGTAATTTACTTCGTAGTTTCGTGGGGAAGAATTTAAAGTAGTTTGATCTCATTCTTGCTCAAGTTGAGTTTGCTTATAATAACTTTGTCAACCAAGCAACTGGGAAGTGTCCGTTTGAAGTTGTTTATGGTACTCGTCCCCTTAGTCCACTAAACTTGACCCCTTCACTTGATAAGCAGCAATATAGCTCTAATGCTGATCAAAGGGCTAAGGAAATTAACAAGTTGCATGAGCAAGTCCGCGAGCGAATCCAAAAGCAGAATTTGAGATACAAGGCTCAACGTGACAAGCATTGAAGATAGCAGATTTTTAAGGTAGGAGACTTGGTTTGGATACATCTATGAAAGGAATGATTTCCTAAATAGCCAAACGCCAAGTTGTCCCCAAGAGCTGATGGTCTATTCAAGATAATGCAAAGGATCAACAACAATGCTTACAAGGTGAAATTACCTGGTTCTTGTGGTGTATCTGCTACCTTCAATGTTGCTGATCTATCCCCTTACATTGACGATAATGCCCAAATTGACTCGAGGGTGAGTTCTGCTAAACTCGAGAAGGATGAAACGGACTGAAACAGACAAAAAAAATTGATGCACGAGAGTTATAGAAATGAAGCCAAAACGTGTTCCGTTACCCCTTCATTAAGCCAATAAAACGTCTAGCATTTACATTTGTAACGTTTTAGCTGTTTGCCTGTTTTCGTTTAGATTCCTAACACTATAAATAGGACTCGCTTTGTTGTAAGAGGATTCAGACTTGAAAAGAATAAGATTTGCTTGATTTCATTCGGTTTCTGTGCCAGGTGGTGGCCTTGAACTCACCAGAACTGGAGACGAAACCTGACCACCGTCGTCCAGACTTTGTCGGAGACTTCTAGAGGCCTGCCGGGGAGATTATGGACCCACCTCTAATCAGTATTCTCTCACCAGGATTTTATCTCACCATTGAATTTCAACCTCAAAAGCTCTAGGTTACAGTGGAAGGTTGAGTAAGAGTCGCGAATGGTGAAGATTGCGTCACCAGAAGAAGAGAAGATGTACAGTCAGTTCCAATTCCACCCATATAGAGATGACTACAAACTTGTTTATTGTGATACTGGCTCATAAGTTAATAGTGATCATCACTGTAAGGATCAAGGGGTTTCCATTGACGATGAGAATAACAAGCTTTTGGTTGTGAAGGACGGAGACCCACTAACAGTTCGGTTCGTGAAGATTAATCGCAGAGACAACTATGATCGAATGAGAATTTTTTGACGTTCATCACTCCTCAATTGTTTCTGTTGTTAGTTAAAGTTTATGCAGTTATTTTGTTCTAAGGGAAGTGCCTCCGTACATTTCCTCGTTAGTTTCCGTCGCAGCTATATGTAATAAGACTGCACTGTACTTGTCGGCAAATAATAAATTTATTCAAGTGATCACTTCGATCATTATTGACTAATTTTATTTGTTAATTTTTTTAATTTCCAATAGCCTTCAATATATAATGATCTGAATCTAAACTAAAATCATTTTATATCTTATCTCAGACTTGAAGAGCTCTTCTGATTCAATTGTAATTTTCTTCCACAGCATCAGTAATGAACTCAGGGATCAGATATGAAACCATTTTTTTCTATTTTTAGCACTGACCTACATGATGCACATAGTGTCTTTATGCATGAATGTAACAAATTAAACTGCCTTTCGTTATTATATATGGATCACAAAATGGAATCCAAGAATAAAATTACAATATTCACACAAATGTCAGCCTTGCACTGTTGTACATATGCTGGATGGACAGAATTCTAGCAAATTAGTGTGCATTCTCGTAGTGTGTGAGGTGCCTGCCAAGCTAAATGAATAAAAGAATGAAAAAATTTCAGTTAGAGATCCTTGACCAAACTTAATAAAATAGAGAACCTCAAATTTTTTGAAATTTCATTGAAGGACCTATATGGAATTTATGTTGAATTTGTAATAGAAATGATAAAATTACTCTCATTTAAATAAACAACATAAACGACTTGTTTATTCCCTTACTGTATGTTATTCATTTACTTACGAAATATTATTCGTTTCTTTATTTTATTTATTTATAGCCTTAGTTTCACTTGATTTTATTTCTTGTTAGTTTCATGATAAAATGACTTGTTTATTCTCATATTGTATGTTGTTCATTTACTTACAGGATGTTGTTTATTTTCCCACTTCACTTATATATATGTCTGCTTTCACTTGATTTCATTGAAAGGGCTATACACCAGTGAAATAGGAAAATGAATAACATTTTATAAATAAATGAACAATATACAATATAAGAATGAATAAGTTATTCATATTGTTCATTTAAATGAGGGTAATTTTATCATTTTTATCATAAATTCAAAAAAAAAAATTTCGTACATTATGTTTGATCAAGGGTTCCTGACTAAAATTTTTCCTAAAAGAATACTACAAGACGTCAAAGAAGAAAACATGACGTGATCTCTGACGAATAAAAAGAAAAAAGAAATAAATGAATAAAAGAATACAATAGTCTTAGAGAATACAGAAAAGAAGGCCCAATACTACGTAACAGACTTAGGCTTTGTGAGTTTGGGCTTACTGCTGACATTGATTAACAACAAAAAGATCCATTAAATATTCTTCTGACATGCTTGCCTAAAATTTACACAAAATGAGCTTAACTGATGATTAAAAAAAAAAAATCATCTCCAAATCATATCAGTCCATAATTCCTCTTAATTCATCATACAAAACACTAAGCACATTTTCAGTTCCATGTAATATTATTTGTTTGATATATCCAATAAAATATTTCTAATATACCTCAAAATTAAAATAAAAAAGGTGCTAATAAACATAAAAAAGTTAAGTGATCACTTTTTTTTTACACATTTTATGCGGTCTGGCTTTTGTATTAATATATATATATATATATATATATCATGAACGACAGCCTAACACGTGGATGCTCAAAGTCCGCGATAACCCGCATATATATTCAAATAGAACTGTGAGATTTATGCATTTTCCCTGACAGCAATTATCTCCAAACACATAACACAAATACACACCCCGCCATAAAAAAATGAAAATGAAACACTTTATCACAAATATGCACTCCACCACAAAAAATGAAAATGATCTATACCCTTTATTAAACAGAAAAATAAAAGGCCACAAAAAAATGATATATTTTATTTTATTTTTTTCTGAACATTTGGCAGACTATATACTCTTCTGGAAGTACGCATGCATGAGGTGTCTCAATGCATGTCAGAAACAGCCGTTCCTTTAAACACCACAAACTTTTTTTTTAAACAAATGAAAAAAGAATAACATATTGTCCAAGGTAAAAGTTATAGTTCATCGTTAATTTTGACAAGTTAGGAATGATTGAAAAATTAGTCAGTATTATTATTAACCCACGAAACACACCTAAAATCATCAAATATTGAAATCGCTTGCGAGAAATATCAGCGAAACAAATGAAACTATACCAGAGTTTACAACCAACACGCCATTCCAATCATAATTATTGGTCCCATGTACATGTTTTTGTTTTAGTATACATGGGTGTTGATAGAAATGGTAAGTTGCATGCATGGTGCAAAGTGGACGACATGCACACATATATAACAGAGCAGAATACACCCTCCAGTCATGAACCCAAATCCTTTTCAAAGACATACATGCATATGTAAAAAGAACTGTCTTCATACATGAAACAAATTGCTTTTCATTATGACAGCTCAACATGTTGTTTTGTGGGTATAAGGTACCACGTAAATTAAATTGCTATGATTGAAAGAAACAAAAGACCATCACATGGTGCAACGTAAAATGCATCAATAAATACAAAGCCTTCATGGAACACAAACTACATGCAAGCGATCGACATGGCTTTTTCTCTTAAAACTAGAACAAAATGGCAACTATGCTGCGTTTGCATGCCCTAAGAGCCTCTTCCTTTTTGCCTTCACCACAAGCACTCTTGGCCATGGTCTTCTTGACATGGATGGTGAGCCTATGAACAATGGAGGCTTATACTATATATTTCCAGTTATAAGAGGAAAGGGCGGTGGCCTTGAGCTTGCCAGAACTGGAAAAGAATCTTGCCCTCGCACCGTCCTCCAAGCTCCCTCGGAGACCTCTAAAAGCTGGCCAACAAGATTGGCGTCCCCAGTTCTAATGCTTACTCTCAACCCAGGATTTCCTCTAACCATTATATTTCACCATCAAAATCCACCCTGTTGCCACCGCCACTCAAGGTTACAGTGGAAGGTTTCGAAAGAATCTCAGATAGTGAAGATTGCATCCAGAGAAGAAGAACAGATATTTGGTCCATTTCAAATCCAGCCTCATAGAGATGCCTACAAACTTGTTTACTGCGTAAGTCACTCGCGAGATAATCATGGCTGTAAAGATCTCGGAATCTCCATCGACGATGACGACAACAGGCGTTTGGTTGTGAAAGATGATGACCCGTTCATCGTTCAGTTCAAGAAGGCTGATCGCAGTGGCGACGAATTACATATGGTCGAATGAGCAATTCACGTGATATGATCGTCATCCCTTCCCTCGCTAGCTTTCTTATGCAGCCATGTAATGATAAGCGTAGCTTCTTTTCGATCAGTTTCTCTCTCGTAGCCATGTAATAAGACTGCAGTTAAATCCTCCAATAACAATTAAATAATTTATACATATAGACGTATACAGTATATAACTATGTCACCACCTCGCTATTAATTTACATCTTTATTTTAGTTTATTTTGTTCTCTATCAACACATTTCATTCCATTCCATTTCTTTTCAGGACCTAATACTAGTCTCAATTAGCTTATTCACGATTCTATATACCCCTAATTTACTTCTTACCATAAGGTGTAGGAATTTGCTTTTTTAACAAATTGAATGTATCCAGCAGCCACGTGCCATGAACTAATTTTTTTTTCCCCTTTAGATGGTCTAGCCATGGCTATTATATTTGAAAAAATTAAATCATCATTTGGGTCCGTTCAGTATGTAGAATTTACAACAATACAAAGTAAAAAAGTAGTCTTGGAATTTGGAACTTGCTTATTCACTAGCATCATCATGTGGATGCAGAAATCACGATTGTATATACCCCTTCCCATACGGCGTAGGAATTTTCTTTTTAACAAATTGGTGTAAGTGTAACCACCAACCACGAGCCATGAACTTTTTTCTGTTTGCATGGTCTAGCCATGGCTATTATATTTCAAAAAACTAATTAAATCATTATTAGGGACTGTTCAACATGCAGAATTTATTAGAGAATTTACAAGAAAACAAAGTAAAAAAGTAATCTTGTAATTTGGAGAGTATCTCTTTTAAGTTACTGAATAACTAAATTAATGGAAAACTCTTTTTCCATAAATTAATTAATGATGCATGATAAAGTATAATCAAAATTAATTGTCTCATTTATTGTAAAAGGAAAAGAAGAAAATTGAATGGATGATAGCCAAGTTAAGTTTTCCGTATGACATACCATGTGGTGGTGGAGACAAGAGAATCAGGGCTGGGGAGCCACAACTCCTCTACTTTTTTTTAAATTTTTTTTTAGTAAAGTATAGGAGTTATATAATTTCAATCATCCCAAATATATTTGATATTATTAAAATTTAACTTTACCTAAATTGTAATAATCACTTATTTAAAAGTTAAGAGAGTATAGTTGGGATTGTCTTATAGAAAAAAGTTACTTCTTTAATTTTGGAACAACAAAGCTATTGAAATTTCTTATATGAATTAATTTTTTACGTTGATACAACTTGATCTCATTAACACAAATACTATGTGTGACAATTGATCATCATTATTGCGTTGATATATTTTTTTTATAAAATTGTGTTGATATATTTAATTTGTCATAGTTTATTGATTGAAAGAATTAAATAATAGATTAAGTGAGCAAGCAATAGAGCTTCTTAAATTGAGCATAACATAGAATCCTAATGATATATTTGAATCATTTAATGCAAACAACATCTACAATCTTTTTGAGAAATTTTATTCTTCATATTTTTTAATAAAAAAGATTTGATTGGAATATGAATTACAACATTATGAGCTTGATGTGTTCAAAAATAACCCTAATTTTCATAACTTGATATGGGTAAATTATGTCAAAAGTTTATTGAGATTGGAAAGTCTAATTTTTATCCCCCGATTGATAGATTACTAAGGTTTGTATTTACTCTTTCTAAATCAACAGCAACCATTGATCGAATGAATTTTTTAAGCCATAAAAGTTATAAAAACAAGGCATGGAAGATAATTACTTAAAAGTTTACTGCAAATATGACAATTGATTTTTTTTGGGTCATGAATCGACAGTTAAAATTTTAAAACTGAAAGTAAATGTTTATTTTGGTTATGTATTTGTAAAATTGATTGTGAATATGTTAGAATATTAATGTTATATATATATATATATATATAAATTTTCTTCAATTATTGTATATACTTTGTAATTACGGTCCCCTTGAACTAAAATTCTTGGCTCTGCCCAAGGTACCATGGATCGCAATGGATTTTTAAAAATGTTATAAATAAAAGATAAATTTAGTCTCAATTAACGTTAAGTAAAAAAAGTTGAGCATTTTAATATTTCAAAATTAAACTATTAATAACCTCATTCCAATCCGAATATTAGTCGAGTAAATGATACTTAAGGACCCTTGAAGAACACTGATTACAATAAGAACTATACATTTTATAAATTTCAAAAAAGATCAAGATCATTGGTTGGAATAATTAAAATTTTCTTAAGTTCATTTTTCACTACGCGTATTTAATTTTATGATATTTTTATTTATTTTTTTAGCATTAACTGTTTCTATGTCTATATTCAACTTTGATCTTTTGGATACTGATATTTAAGATTTTCGGTAATGAAAAAACTCAAAGATAAATGTTAAAAACATGGAATACTATAAATGAGTTAGGGAAATGTTAAAAATGGGTACTAAATATAGGAAAGTAGAATGCTGAAAACATCAAGGACAAGTACCAAAAAACAAGGTCAAACAATTTTTAATTCCAAGGATCAATTTTTAAAATTTCATAAATTCATGGTCCTAAATTGTAATTAATATTCTTTAAGGGTCCTTAAATAAAGTAATTTACCCTTTCAGGTCCCACACAACATTTTAGTTTGTTGGTTGCCGTTACCGGAAGTAACCATACGAAATCGGTGCTTGTTGGTTTCCAAGGAGTGGTTAAGAAGGCCGTAAGGCAAGGCGGTTGGTATTTTCGCTTGAAACTTGCGCCAATTTAATTTGGATTACTTCGAAAATGGATATCAGTATTTGTGTTTTGAGTTTTTGATACCTTGTGTTTGTGTTGACGTCTTATTCCGCTTGATGCTTGTATTTATTTCCCATCACTTTCACAAGTTTATTAAATACATTAATTTTAATATTATTCTCTCTCTCTTTATAATTAATTTCCATTACTTCTCTTTTCAATATATTAAATGATGAGTATTTTGAGAAGTTTATATTTTTATTTTAAAAAGATAAGGTTGTTAAGTATATTTAATAAGTTTTATTGTTATGTGAGATTTTATCTAAAAATATTTTATAATTTGAAATAGAGGGAGAGTAAGTTTTAAGCGCTAGAGGATTAGTCAAATTTTTAGATTTTCTTCATCTCGTCAGTTGAGTATTTTAATATTTCTTCATGCTCTAAATTAAACCATTAATTACCTCATTCCAATCAGATTATTGGTCGACTAAATGATATTTAAGTACTGTTTAAGAACATTAATTATAATTAAGAACTATACAATTTCGAAATGTCAAAATGATCAAGATCATTGGTCGGAATAATTAAAATTTTTTTAAGTTAAATTTTTTCAGTACACATATTTGATCTTTCTAGTATTTATATTTAATATTTTTAGCACTCATTTTTCAATGTCTGCAATGCTCAATTTTATCTTTTTAATAATATTTAACATTTTTTGGTAATGAAAAAAAAATCAAATATAAATGTTAAAAACATTGAATACTAAAAATGAGTTATGTCAAAAATGGATACGAAGAATAAGAAAGATGAGTACTGAAAATATCAAGGACGAGTACTGAAAAAAGGTCGAGAAAACGCATGGTCTTAAATTGTAATTAATATTTCTTCAAGGGTCCTTAAATGTCATTTTTACTTTCAGGTCCCCCACAACATTTTGGTCAGTATACGTGGGTGTCGTAAGAGAAATAACAAGCTGCCCCAGATGCCGAGTGTGGCACATGCATTATAAGAGTCTGGCACACTGATCGATCAACACTATGGCTCCGTCATTTTATGGCCGTGAGAAGATTATTGTTGTCTTTTGTCATGTTGGAATCCAAACCCTAGCAACAAATAAAAAGTCCCAACTAATTCAAATTGACATGAATGATAAAGGTTTTTGTCATTTAAGTGGGTGATTGGGATGCAAGTCTCAATCATTATGCATGTAGTTATTTAGTTGAAAGAAGTATATCATTGCCCTCAATACCTTAGGACAGATAATTTTTGCTATGGACGAAGTTTATTCCTTATGCTGTATAAAAATAAAATAAAATTAAAAGATGTCTTAATCTATGAAATTAAATGAGATGTTTCTCATTTAGACGCAGCACAACATGATTTGTGGGCATAACGAATCACGTATATAAAGGGAAGGAGCGATGATTTATCTATAAGAGGGCCAAGATTAAAAATCATATAATTAAAAAAAATTTTATAAATTGAGAGGTTAAAAATATATAACATCTATATAATACTAGAAAAAAATTCAAGTCTTCTCCCTTTCGATCCTTATATATATATATATATATATATATATGAAATTATGAATGAAAGAAACAAAAGACCATAATATGATGCAATAGCACAATGCATCTATAAATACAACCTTGCACTTAATAGAAGCACACAGCATGTAATAATTACAAGCCAAAATGTAGAGTGTGCTGCCTCTGCATGCCCTCATCTTCTGCCTCTTTCTCTTGGCCTTGCCAATAAGTAATCTTGCCCAGAGGTCAATTGCTTGACGCTGATGGCGACATATTAAGAAATAGAGGCTCATACTATGTAGTTCCAGCTTTCAGACACTACTACAGAATATATCTTTAGGAGCGGGTATTTAGGAGCGCTTCTTTAAAAAGCACTCTAAAATGTAAATGCGGAATTTACCGGAGCGCTTTTTTAGAAAAGCGCTCCTGTATGTCATGGCTTTTCAATAAGATAATGCTCCTAATTAATATAAATAAAATATTATAAAAAATTTAAAAAGACCTTCGGGAGCGCTCGTAGTTAAGCGCTCCGGAAGATCAACTCTTTCGGAGCGCTCTTGGAATGAGCGCTCCGGAAGAACAACTCTTTCGGAGCGCTCTTTTAATGCGCTCCGAAAGAGTTGTTCTTCCGGAGCGCTTGTCAAAGAGCGCTCCGGAAGAGGTGGTCTTTTATATCTCTGCCTCCCGTCAGTTTTCTTTTCCCTATTTATGAGTTTCTTTCAAACCTCTCTCTCATTTGCTGAGGTTGTGCGTTCCCA